GTGAATTTTCTACGCTTTACTAGGAATTATTTTAGGTCACGTTATAGATAATTTACTCTCGAATTGAGGGATTATATATATATATATATATATATATATATACATACAATTTTAAAATTTTGATCTCCCGAAAGAAATAATGATAATAATCAAATGCCCAATCAGAGCATAACTAGGAGTAATTATAAGTTGGACAATAACAGCTACTACATGCCAATACTGTCTGCACAAATAACTGACTGCTTGCAGTTATAGCATCTGCCAAATATTAGCAACATTGTATATTAGAAAGTTCGCCAGAAAGTGAACCAGACAATGCTGAAATGGCTGATCAACCTAAACAAATTGGAAGATGTAATTGTATGTTAAATAACTATATTATAAGAGTAAAACTTTATTGCACATCCCAACCTAAGTTGGCATCATGGAATCAGTGATGGAGTACCTACCAGCTGATGAGAACATATGCTGGACATCATGCAGTGACCAACGTCATTGTAGCACAACCATATGTGATAGCGAGAATTCCGATTTTGGATATACAATACAAATGACCAGACAGGAAGTAAAGCAAGTGAAGAACGTAGACAATATCTTAGGTAATACTTGCCATGTTCCAAAGTTTAGTAAGAATGTCACAAACTAGCGCTTTTATAGTCAATTATTAATGCAGAATGGTGGCCAAGTTGTTATGCAGCTACGAGCAAATAGCCTTTGAGTAGCTTTGCGCTAAAAATTCTGAAAACAAAATATAAGCTATATTTATCTCAAACGGTTAACGTCAGGGATTTCTTAAACACGCATAATAAATGGAAGGATTTCCTTGCAAAAAGTTTATAAGGAAATCCTGAGGTGAAGAAATAGTACAAAGGCTTTATGAATTTTAAAAGACTGTAAAAGAAAATGAAAAGCAAATTCTGAAAAATTATTCTCTAAAAATGAATATTTTGGGTGGCTGTTACTGTTGATTTAGTACAAAGCTACACAATGGACTATTTTCACTCTGTTCTCGGCAGGGAACTAAACTCTGGATTTTAACGTTGTAAGTCCATAAACTTATTGTTGAACCACCGGAGAACCTTAGAGTGACTAATTCCAGTTTATTTCGTCCCATCATTTTGAAACAGCAAGAACATGAACTCAAAAGTTCAAGAGGAAATTCTGCTCAATATATAGGTAAAATACTATGAACAAAATTGTGAGGGTTTTATGTATGTGGGATGGGATTCTTTTACAGTAGGTGTCTGTGACTTGTTGGCAATAAATTCGAACAATAAAAGGACAACACACAATCCACTTGTTTTAAAATAATATATATATATTCAAAACAAGTCAAACGCATATATAAAAATTCTTTACACTATAGAATATCACAGTTGTAGCTAAAACTCTAAATAATTCTATTTTCTTGTCAAAAGTCCATACAGGCTGATTTAGTTACTTTAGAATCCAATAGACAAGAAGAATCATTTTCTCTACTCTGTTTCTTATTATACATTCTGCAATATATTCACTTACGTTACCCCGTGGGTTAGCACAGTTGTATCCTTTTCGTCAAAGTTCACACAGACTGGTTGAATTACTTTAAAACACACTTTGACAGGACAAAGTATTCTCCTTATCTCTGACAAACTGTAAAACTCACTTTAATATATCGCCATTACGTTAAACTAACAATCACGCAGTCCAACTTCACTTTCACTAACTTAACTTTTTCTGACTCAACGTCACTTTACTTACGCTCACTTGATCGCCTGTATATATATTGTAACGTCTCTGTGTCGTTAGTTAATTTTCCGTAAGAATTCTTTCTGAAGAAACTTTAGCGATACAAGTCCTTTTTTAAATAAAACTGGTTTATTCTTTCTGAATACAACTTTGCAATATACTTAATTTCCACAGTCGCGCTATAACAAACGCTATAATTCACAATGAACTTCTCACGTGCTCGCTCGACTCAATTGCCCGTCTCTATCTCTGTCTGCAATTCAATTACACATTGTTGCCGTCACGTCTTGACCGTCTTATATGTACAAGAATACCGAAATCTAGTAAACGCTCGAGCATTCACGAACCTTCGAGAATATGACGTGTTACTAGCGTCACGTGACCCCCGCTGTCGTAACAATATATATATACATTACCCAGCTAAGGCCTAGAACTTTCTATAAACTACGAGACGTTGTGATGTAACAATACTCACTTTAGGCAACGAAAAAATATAGAAGGTTCGAGTAAGAAGACGTCAGTTTACAACAACTGAAGTAAGCACACAACGTAACGATACTTAACGAGTTACGCAACGAAATTTGTCACAACTACCGCCTTCCAAATAATCAAATATAAAACGTCTGTTAACAAAACACAATAACCGTTAAGTATTAAATAACTAAATGAACTAAATAATAACTCTGACACAAAACAGTCTTGTATATTCAACAAAAGTCTGAGTTGGGGATGTTGTTTTCTTGTCAGTTACCCAACCTATTCATCTTTATTACTTTGAGAACACAGGAATTCTGAAACTTGGGTAGCAAATGATAGAAAGTCTTAGGAAAATTTCGTGAAGAAATTCAAATATGGAGGAGTTAATTTTCCAAGTATTTTACTTTATAATTCCAAAATGAGGAGGAGAAGGAAAATATGTAATTTGTTCAATATATTGCAGGAAATTAGCAAGAAATTAAGACAGAGTTTCGTAAAAAATTATTCAGTGAAAGGGACTACCTCCTCAACTGTATATTTGCTTTAATACGAAAACGGTAGCAGCAGAACATCGGAAAAGTCTAGCAAAATGCTTTACAGAACGTACTCTAAAATCAATTAAATCCAACTTTAAATATCATATTTCCTCGGACAAAACGATCGAAAAGTGTATTTTAGGTTATATTCAAACTGTGAAGTGTTGATGTTTTTCGTTGAAATATTTCAAATTTTGCTACACTTATGCAGTAAGATTTCGATATCAAATGAAATAAACTGTTTACAACAAATTTCAAAATATAAGAATGGTTTGAATTTCGTGCAAAGCTACACGAGGGATATCTGCGCTAGCCATCCCTTATTTTGCAATGAAAGACTAAAGGGAAGGCAACTAGTCATCACCACCTACCGCCTACTTTTGCGCTACTCTCATATTAACGAATAACGAGATTGACCGTCACATTATAACGCTCCCATGTCTAACATATTTGGTGGGACGGGATTCGAACCGAGTCGAGCGCCCTAACCACCTGACCATGCAAGGTTTGATATTGTTGCGTCAGCGAGTCACATGACTAGTGTGACGCCAAGTTTCTAGAACTATCCCGTACCTT